ATTTGCATGGTCTTTAGGCTGAGTTTAAGTTGTATTTCTCTTGATTAAAAGCTTTTGGTTCAAAGCAATACTTTTTAATTGCCTAATGATATAAGTCACTTCTTAGGAAAGAGCCATGCATTTAGGAGTTCATTTGCAATATAACTGAAAAATTCATTGCATGGCAGTAAAACAATTTACTGTTAATTACAAGGAGAAGAATTTGCTGTACCATGCTCACAGATTGCCATGAATCATGCAGCACTCCTAGAGATTTATAACAGATGTGTAAGTGGGATGAATTAGCAGGGTTTAATAACAGAGACACAAATCATGCAGACTTCAAGGAGCTTTAATTGATATACTAGAATGTGACGGGCATGAATCACTCAGCCATTCAACAGCACTGTAACATATGGTCAGCTCAATATGCTGCATCTTAAATCGGTTGGTGAGTTGTTGGTTGTCCCATATGGTGGAAGCAATATATTTTTAAGGACTTTTTTTTAAAAAAAGAAACCATCACATTTACTATTTTTTTAAAAAAAAATATGATTCAATATGCTCATAATAAGGTGAACTCTTAAAACTTGTTATGTATGTTTAAGGCATATTATATACAAATTCTGTAAACAGATTTTCTTAAAGAGCTGAAGGAGCTGGTTGAAAGGTTGAAGTTTTCAATGGAAATATGTAGTTTTAATGATTCTATGTTATTATACAGAACATATACTTTACTACACCCCAGTTCCTTGCCAGTACTTTATCCAAACTCACCAGTGCCTTCTCTACTAGAAGAATTTGTATCATGAAGGAGTTCCAGAGAGAAGAGCTAACAAGGAACACATACTTACCATGGTAGGAATCTCATTTTACCATCTAGATCAGTCTTTCTCAAACTCAACAATTTTAAGATATATGGATTCAACTCCCAGAGCTCCGCAGGCTGGATGGGAAGTTCTGGGAGTTGAAGTCCATACATCTTAAATTTGCTAGATGTTTAAGCACTGCTGCAAAAATCTGACTTAATTTTCTACCATATACCCTTTCACTTGTATGACATTTTTATGATTGTTTATTGTTGGGTTTCAGCATTTATGTTAGTATTTTATTATGGTCTTTCAATTTACTTCAGTTTTTCTTTTAAAATTCTTAATTGTTTTCCAAATCATTCCATAAAATTTAAATATACTATTAGACTATTGTATTCTAAATATGGTACAACCACAGTTTCAGAATAAGGGAAGAGATTTCTTTTAAATGTGAAATCTGGTAAATCTGGGTCCTTTAAATTAATGTTTTCCTGGAAATGCATGGAGGACTCTATTGCTGAGTAACATTTCCTTGTCTGAAGTGCTGAATCCAATCTATAGAGTCAGGCCTAATGATCAACCTCACTAGGTTAATGTGAAGTCAGCTGGGATGATGGAGACCTTACATTGTTGAAAACATTCCTGGGATATAACAATAGTCAAGTCTCTCGAGTGAATGAGTGATCTTCCACTCTCTGGGCAAGCCTCCAATTACACATTTGCTTACAAAGTGAAATTGTGCATGAGACACAAATGCTGTTTTTTAAAAATGGATAACCCTACATGTCACTATTCAAAAGGTTGAAATTATAATGAGCAGTTGGCAAAGCATAAATGAGACTGTATCTTCATGAATGTTGCTCAAGGTTCTACTAGAAATGTAGCTATTTAGAAATTTGATGAAAGGGGAAACCTTAAGAAGCATATTTTTTGAGATAAAGCCAAGAGCACTAAGTGCTACCTATATAATATTTCACTGAGGGGTTCCTTTTAGTATAAATGCATGAAAGAAAAGTAGACCAGTAAAGGTTTAGTAACTATAATACAGATGCATTTTTATTAGCTTTAAAACCTGACATGCTATAGGAAAGCTTTAGCAGCTGCATTAGTAAACCTGACAGATTTGCGAAAAGAATTCAGTATCCTTAGAAGCACGGTTGCCAGAATTTAATGTCAACAATTAAAATTTATTTTGATCCTCACCTAGTGTTTATTACTGTTTGTATACACAACAGACCTTACTAATACAGTGATGCACTATTAGATGGAATTACCATCTGTTCACAGTGAAATGTTGGCATCTGTCTTAGTTTCTAAAGCTAAAATGATATTGGTTCAAACAAAACAAAGTTAACTGCTCTTTACTTATCAACAATTATATTTTTCTTTCATGCATGCAGATATAATGTGCTCACACAGAGACTTGCACACAAATGTATTCATGGAAGGCTTTATCTTTTTTTTAATAGTAAGCTATAAAATGATATCTATACTTGATGTATTGTTAATATGGAACTGTATGGATTGTCTGTTCTTTTGATTTTGGGGCATTCTTTTGTAATTCAAGACAGTGTAATAATTGTTTAATGTTTGAATGCTTTAGTTGGTGAATTATATATTTTACTGAAGAAATTTTAAAAGCCTGATATACTTAAAATATGCAAAACACAATTCAGTCTGTTAAAACAAAGAATATTTTTATAGATGTAATTTAAAAGACCAGAATAAATTTACAATAAATAAATAAAATGATAATTCCAACAGGTATCAGTCATACCTTTAAAAACATATATTGTGGCTGCTAGCTTCTATTGTATATTGCATAAACGTTGATATGGAGATACACGTTATTTATTATCTAGAGGTTCCCACACACAAGTGATTTGTTGATATGTAAATTTCAGAAAAATTTTTCATGTTAGGGCACATACATTGTGAATCATCAAAAACATGCTATTTACAATTCTAATCTTCAACTAAAGGTGTTGCTTTCTGAAATATTAATTTTCTATTTCATTATGAAATAATACTACTATTTAGTATAGCAATGCCACTATTTCATATATGTACCACAGTGCATTAACTGTAACTAGTACATTTATTTGTGCTGGAGTAGACTTGAAAATGATTAAAAAATCAATATTTTCCTGTCAAGGAAGTAAATGTTACAATGCATTTAAATAATTAAGTGTGCGAGTGCCATAAGAGCTTCAAATTTGGATAGGGAAGATGCTATAATTACAGTACAAGCCTCTCCAATTTATTATGAGAATATATTTAAGGAAGATTTGCTGTTTGTTCTAAAGGTGGCTATGTGTATTCATTTTAAGCAATAATGAATTTTAAGCTTCTGTTTTTGGTAGTTAGAAGCTGAATTGGAATATTAAATCCTGGCAGTTGCATTCAAAATGCTGACACAGCTGGATAACTTCAAAGGTGAAATTCCAATGGTAAAGCCCATATTTTCTTTTGAAACCTGTGCATTAATGCTGCATTTCATTAGTGCTCGGTGCTACTTATGTGGGAAAGCTTATAACCTCACATGCCAGATTTTCAAATTTCAACACAATAAATTTTGACCAAAGCAGTATAATACTAATTAGATTATAAAGTCATAAATGATATCTGAACAAGAATTTATAATGCATAGCTTGGAGTAATTTTTTGATTCATCTTTTCCTTCATCTTAAAGTATCCTTTCTTCACACTGTAGAAAAAGCAATAGTAGTACATTAAATGTTCATATAAAAATGCAAAAATATGCTTATGGTTTTATATATCAAACACTTTAAAGATGTATTATTAATTTATTATCAACTAAGATCTTGTGGTTAACTCTTAGCACAATGCCCTAAATGAATTTACAGGATGCATATTTTATGTCATATTTTCTAAATGAATTATGTACTGTATGATAACAGAAGCACCTGACTTTGATATATGTGGCATAGTTTAAGATTCCTCATGCAGAAAACACAACTGCAGAGTACATTTACAAAGTAATACTTGCTTGGAATTCAAAATGGAACAAAGTATTTTATATCTGCAAGGAGCAGAATACTTTCAACAGGTAAAGTGCTATTGTATGTTGTAATTGACCACCTAATTGTCAACATAATGTGCCACACCCAGATGCAGAAAGCTTCAGTTAGTTTGTAAGCCTTGAAAGGTGAATGCATTGAGAATGTGACACGTATGTTTATATAACCTGTAAAAAATTGTTTGCCAAAATAGGAAAATACTTACTTTTTTTCTTTTATCAAGCTCATACTGCATACAATGGTCTATACAATTAACAAAGCACATTAATAAATGATTTCCAGACATGGCACATTATTTCTTAATAACATGGATATATGCATGTACATGCAAAAGTATTATATGGTGCGCAGGCTATGGTCTTTCACAGTGCACCTGCAGTATCATCACAGTACAATGTTAAAACTTATCATTAGATCTGAGGTTAGATTTTCAATTTCTCACATTAGTGTTTATTCATCATCATGACTGCAGATAATGTAATTTGTCTTTTATGGAAAGGAAGGTCTATGCAAGTCTTACAGAACTTTTCGTTTTAGCCAAGTTATATGTGCCTGCCTATTTGAAAGATTGGCAAATGCTATGGGTTCATAGTATGTAGACTTTTGCATATATAAAGGTTTCTAATGGTGAAGTTTCTATCTTTAGAATTCATGTATACTAGCTCAACTGTTTTTTATTACTATTATTTTTTTTACTGTTATTCAATTTATGATAGAACTATTGTGTTCTAACAAAGGAATAAACAAAATCAATGTCAAGTCAATAAACATCTGATATTTGTGAGTCTTTTCTGCCAATATCATTGTATATTCTGATTCCAAGGAATTATTTGAATTTGTGCCATAATGTTTGCATTGTTTTTATGGTATTAATGTAAAAATACTTTGCAAACAGTAAAAGAAAAAGCTAGGAGTGCTGTTCAGTCAAACAGGGAATTGGCAGATCGTATTTTTCCATTTCTAACAATTTAAATATTATTATGGACAGCGGTATGACTATATAAAAACCTAAAGAAATTTGAAAGTTATATTGTAAATCGTTCCTTCCATGACACTTTTTAGTAAATATTTATAAAAATATAAAAAACAAAGCATTAAACTTTTTTGTTCTTTCTTTCTTTCTTTCTTTCTTTCTTTCTTTCTTTCTTTCTTTCTTCTTTCCAAATAGCTCCAGTTCAGCTAATAGCACCTGACACTGAAGGAATAAACAGCACTGTAATAAAGATAACTTGGTATGAGCCTGAAGAACTTAATGGACCTCCTCCAGTTTATCAGCTGGAAAGAACAGATATATCTTTAGTAACATCCACTGTAAATGTAAAAAAAGGAACCCGTTTTCCAGGAAATGGGTATTACAAGTTTCCAAATTCTGTGTTGCCTACAAACACTTATTTTACAGGTAAGCAAATTTCATTCATTCAATCAATCAATTAATTTCTATAGCCACCCATCTCAGTCACTGGGCAGCTTACAATTCAAAACTATATTACAATCAAACTGTTAAAGCATTTTAAAACAATAAAATTATAGGAACATCCAAAATAAATATATACAGCAGCCCAGATACTCAGCCAGTTATCAATACAGCCAGGAAATGGGGCTATCCCCACATTCAGTGCCTCAAGCTCGGGAACATGGCCAGATTTTTAGGGCCTTACAAAAGGGATAGTAGGATTGGGATCATTGCACTTTCTAAAGAGGATCCCTGCCATTGTGGAAAACCTGCCAGCTGACACTGTTTGCTTGAAGGGATCTACAGCATGCCCATTCTACTACATCTGGTTCAGAGGTGGTAATCAGCAGGTTCTGACCAGTTCTGGAGAACCGATAGCGGAAATTTTGAGTTGTTCGGAGAACTGGCAAATACCACCTCTGACTGGATATTTTACAGTATCCTTCCCCTGCCATGCCCACCAAGCCATGCCCATAGAACCGGTAGTAAAATTTTCTGAATCCCACCATTGATCTGGTTGGACAGGTAGAAACTCTAGCAAAAAGGGGATCCCTCAGGTACCCTGGCCCCAAGCCATAGTCTATACTATGTTTATTTCAAAACACTTCAGAGTACATTCTGATGGACATTTTCTATGGATGGATTTCCTCTGGATTTGCTATTTTACTTTTCACAGTTTTCCCGCATAAATCAATATTGGTCTTTAGAAGACCACTCTTCAGAATTTTTTTTCTGTATCTTAATTTGTAGTGTGAGAAAATATGGTATTATTTGTTCACCAAAGAAAAGCAAGTATTCTTCATCAGGTGACATTTAATTGCACATGATATTTTTATAAGTTTACACTGCAGCTCAACTGGTAAGGGATTTGGGGAATTTTTGCACACTAGTGTTTAGGGACACTTGTTTCTACATCTGTGCCAGCAGGCAATTCTTAAGTCAATATTTTATTCTTTTGCCAGGATACTGGAAGTCTACTTAGCCTGGCACAAATTTCTCTTTTTTCCTGCACATTGATAGCATTCCATGGATCACTGGAATTATACAATGCCTATCTTTGAGTTGAATTGGGGGAAGGTTGCATGTTGATTTTAGCAGCTTTGAAATGTATACTTAAAGGATCTTTATTTATTTATTTTATTTGTCAATTGCTTACAAGATAATAAGTATAAGTTAAAACATAGTTATGAATACATGGATACATATAAGAAAAATAAAAAAAATATAAAAGAAACAATAGGACAGGGATGGTAGGCATGTTGGTGCGCTTATACACCCCCCCCTACAGACTTCTTAGGAAAGGGGTGAGGTTAATAGTAAACAGTCTTAAGGTTAAATTTTTGGGGGTGTGGGGAAAAAAACCACAGAGTCAGGTAGAGTATTCCAGACATTGACCTTACCACATATTGATACTTACCATATACTGATGTTTCAGTATCATTCCTTAGGGAGTTCACTATTACATAATATGAAATATTACATGAAGATTGTGTTAAACTCTTTTTCTACTTTGTCAGAAAAAGTATGTCTGGGCTAAGTATGGAAACACCTTTAAGTGGCCATCCTATCCTATCTTATCTGACACTAAGTCCCACAGAACAGAACATGAATCAACATGCAAATGATTGAACAATTCATTTCTGGAAAGTCTTTCCTTTTAATCAAAAGTCACCTTTTAAAAGCAAACATGTATTTCATGATTCTCTGCACATCACATTTGCTAACTAGTGAATATGTCCTCCTCTCAGTCATGCCTCCTAAACCAACCTATGTCCTCTCATTATTAAACCTGGTAAAGTGAAATTTCAGAGTTATTTGGATGCAGTATTTTTTTATGAGGAGCTCAAAATTGCTTCTTTGAGGCACAGCTTTTCTACTTATTTATAAGAACATCATACTTTTCCGTTGCCATTATTATGAATTTAGTCACCCATATTGTGATTTTTCTCCTCATATTATGCAAGGCTTAAGAACCACAGTACAACTGATTAGTAGTTTGAGTAAAATTTCTGTCATCCTTAGGATCCTCCAGGTTCTCACTTCCTTATTAAAGGATGAGATAGTTACTCAAATGCTCCTATAATTAGAGAAATCAATAATAGGCCCCCTGCCCTGAATGCAAAACATTATATATCTTATTTCCAGCAATTTCAATTCAAGAATGTTGTCTTTTTATTTATAAGAACTTTCTCTAAACCATGGACAAAAACTCTGGACAAGGGTATCCAACAGAATATCACAGGGATAAGGGAATAAATAATATGTGACAGACCTTAGGAATACATTTATAAAGATTAATAGGAACAAAAATGATTTTTTATGAAGGAAAATATTGGATTTGGCCTGTGAAGGTGATTATGGTGATTATGGTGATTAAGAGCTCAGAAAATAAATAAGTAACTGCTTAGAGTTATTTCCAGTTCAATAGAAGATTACTCGATATATTGTCCCCTTTAATAGGCAACCCCTTTATATGGGTTGTGGTATGATCATTGCAGACCAAGTTCCCATTGCTACAGAATATTCTGAGCCATGCTTGATTTTCTTTTCATTTTTTCCTGTTGACAGTGATATGTCCCACTATGAACTATTAACTGGCTTCAATAAAGGAAGAATTTAGCTGTTCTTTCATTTTTTTTCTCTTTGAACTTCTTTTGCTAGCATTGTGGTCTTGCACTTAAATGATTTCACAGTTCTCCTCCTTGAACAAGATATTTTCTTTTTTCCTTCCTCCTAATCCCAAGAAGCCTAAAAGAAAAGGTGAGACACTTAAAAAAAAGTGATCCAGCACAACAAAGTGATTTCGGCTGCTTTGTGAACAAAACATCTTAAAACATTTTCTAATGTGCACCAACAGGGATTTATGCTACCAATGCACTGCACTAACCCTGACAGGCAGTGTTAGTGTAATAGTTTTTGTAAGATTTAGGCAGTTTTAATCTGCATCAAACTTTGTTTTTTAATTCTCTTTTCTTTTCATGGAAAAGTACAGATTTATTTAGGTCTTTGACGAAAATCCCTAAATCTGCATGAATGACTTTTATTTTTCAGAAGTATCTTATCATGGATGTCCCACTTATCTAGAATGGCATAGGGTCTCCTGCTTTGAGCAGGGGTTGGACTAGAAGACCTCCAGGGTCCCCTCCAACTCTGTTATTTTGTTCTGTATCTCTTTAATACTGAACTTTTTAAAAACATCTCAGTATCATATCATTTAATATAGGTAATCCTTGATGACCAGGTTAATTGGGTTAGGGTTAGGGTTAAGCAATGAGGTAATAAACTGTGCCCTCCAGTGACCACATTGACTTATAGTAACAACAGTTCCAGTACCAGTTGTTAGGGACAATGTCACATGATCTGTTCTTGTTTTATTTTATTTTTTTAGGAAGAGAAACTCATTCTTTCTGCATCTTTCCTTTATGGAAATTTAAAGAGGATGATGTCAGGTTGAGTTAAGCAATCATAGTAAACCTTAGTAAACCATTAGTAAATGAAAAAATTAGAATTGAAGCAGCATGGTAAATATTTTATATACTGTGTAGTTAGACTCTCAGCTCACTTAGAAAAGAGGGTATGGAATTCTTATCGTCTGTGAGGTATAATCTACACTTCCCTATGAACAGATTGAATAGAGTTGAATTGAATTTTGTTAGAAAATATTCCAACTATAGTGCCCATTTTTAAAACTGATTACAAGATTTCTTTTATTCTTTTTTATTGACTTTTTTATTCTTGCCTTGTGGCTTTTTAAGACACCGTGATGGTACTAACAAGTAGTTTATTGAACAAACAAGTATGAAAGACACTCATTGATTCTAATTGTCTGTCATGAATATCATGAGGAAGCATTTCTATGAATATTATCAGGAAATGTTTCATCCCACAATTGATCTTTTAGAAAGTTCAAATTAATATCTTGTCTAACGATGATGAGCCTTATCAATTGAGTGATTGCCAACATTAAAAAGAAGGAAGAACAGGATTAAAATGTGTTGTCCCTATTAGATTTAAGTACTTATGGCCCCAAATCAATCAGATCATAAACTGAGTAACGTTATTTCTGCCAAAACAATCAGTCAGGATTTATAATATATAGCTTTATCTGCTGAAAAATAATAGACATTTATAAAATATAGCACTAATGTGTTGTATACTGCCTGTATGTAAGTATTTAATCTACTCCTCTCTATCTCTCAAACATACTTTCCTTCACAATCTTTCACTCTTGGATATGGTAAGTAAGCTTATGAGAAAAATAATAATAAAAATGTAGGTCCCATCAAAACTGGAATCTACATTTTTATTAATATTTTTTTCAGTTTTTATTTTATTTACATAGAAATATATACTGTCATTTAACATGAATCACACCAATCATGGTGTTTATCTAATACACTAAATGCTGTATTCGATTTCAAGATGCACCATAAGAAATGGCATTATTGGGACAGCAGGCACATGTAGATGTCTATAAAAATATGCTGAGTTTGACTTATTCAACAATTCAGCTAAAATATTCAAAATATGTGATTCAGCTACTTAGAGCCATAGTTCAGGGATAAATTTATTTTATTGTTTATTTTAAGATAAGTTTATTTTATTTATTTTATTGGATCTAGTCTGAGAAGGATGTAGACAAACTGGAGTGGAATGAGAGGATAACAGTGGAAATGACAGGAGCAGGCAGAATATCTTGCTCTAGAAAAGGTCGAAGCTACTTGATTATATGTAGCCTAAAAGGGGGGGAACTGAAAGGGCATGATTACATTCTTCTAATATAATATCCATAATATTAACAAATGAATTGCCACCTTACACTTAGATGCAAAATAAATTATTAAAAATATAACTATTAGCATAACTATATTCAGAAAAGCTACTATTAGCATAAAAATAGAAAGAAATATAAGAAAACTTATAGGCAATATAATTCAAGCAGCAGG